CATTCGCAGTTGATGAGAACACAGCAAGAAATGTTCGAACGAACAAAAATGCCGTTGTGATTTTACCAGCCTGAAATACAACATTACCTTTTTTCCGTAATGTTGTGTAATTTCTTACTAGTTTATGCAGAAAGCCACTCTGCCCGTTCGCAATTTTCCTTTTTTGTTTAGTTAACCACTGTAAAGATAGCCTTTTCCTACAGAATGATATTTGTCGGATTTGAGGAATGCAAACTTCGTTATTTTTTCTCGGTTCAAGCAAAATGATAGTTTTCGTGGTTGACGTTGTCGTTCCATCTCCGCCGGTAATCTTTTTGTGTTCAGTAATTCACGATGGCGAAGTCAGGTGATGTTGATATGCTGTTTGAAGTACGAAACAACTTCTATTTGGGTGCTTATCAAAATTGCATTAACGATGCACAGGTTGGTTTCTTAATAAATCAACTTATGAAAGTTACTCCAAAGACGGAGTCGATCAAAGTGGTTTGCGGAATGACTAGAAAGTTGTCATCACGAATTGCAGACTAATTCGGTAAACATTTTAGAATGTACGACTGAAAAGTGATGAGGATAAGCTTGCACGTGATGTTTATATGTACCGGGCATATATTGCTCAAAATAAACCGTCGATTGCAATCAATGAAATCAAAACAACTTCTGCTGCAGCTGCATTGATTGCCGTACGGCGATTCGCTGAATACATGGCATCTCCCACTAAAAGGTTTGTTCTTCTCAGTTCAGTTTCTTTCTTTCATAAGTTGGGAGTGGAGAAAGCATTTTCCAATTTGTTCATGTTGAGTTTTGCTTAAGGTATTTTGAGAGTTATGAATCCGAATTGAATCCGTGAAGTGTCACTCGTTTCATGAGTATTTCAGGTCAAAAATTGTCGAGGAGGTTGAGGCTGACTTCAACGGTGATATGCCGAATGATGACACCGTATTTCTGATGAACGCATTCATTTATATCCATGAACAGGTATGTTGTGCTTTTCGGTATAGAATTATTCAAGCTTTTGGATCTGATGATTTGGGGCTTATGAATTAGAAGTCACAACGGTTTTATTCACTTATTAGTGACGATAACCGACCAAATTTCGGTCGATTGTCATCGCTAGCATTGTACCAGACAAACGCAATAAGAAAACAACCACCCATCTCTTCTTCAAAAAAAAACCCACCCCATACACAAGCAACACAAGCGAATCTCACTTCCGCCCTTCTTGATGCATTTATGTCCAAATAAGGATGCTATACGTCTGTTTCAAACTTGATGAACGTTTAGAACATTGATAGTGCACTTCGACTTTTACATCAGTCGGACAGCTTGGAGTGTCGAGCTGCGACAGTTCAGTGTCTCTTGAAAATTGATCGTGTTGATTTGGCTCTGAAGGAAGTCAAAAAGATGCAAGAAATAGACGAGGATGCTACTGTGACGCAACTTGCTCTT